AATGCATAGGCAGTTCTCCAATGGTTCATGCAGCATTTAAAATCAATTTAAAGTGATATTCATCCACCAACAGCTAAGATACTTGTGATTAGTTCTCCCATTTTTCTAAAATAACCACAACAAAGAATTTGATTAGCGCAGCAATTCTAGAGATGTTTTTAACGCTTTCCCTACCAGGGTTTTTGCCCCAGTTGTGATTAAAAGCATCTCTAAAAACACTGACAGTGGGGAAAGGGCTGAAGAACGATGACAAGTAAAATGGCTGCAGGTGGCTGAATTTAGGAAACCTGAGCTGATTTTGAGAAGCTAACCAGGTCAGACTTGGTAAACGCTTGGAGAGGAGACCACTAGGAAATTGAAAGACACCCCAGAAGAAGGTGCTGACAGATTGTTTCTGTATTTTTGCTAGAAAACTATGTCTGTATCCAGAGAGTAAACAGGAACTGAACTTTGCTCAAATGAAAGGCTACCTTTTACAGCATTATTAATGCAAGCATCCTTTTTGGTTAACCTCAGTTCTTCAGAAAATTGGAAGGACTCTAGTTGTACATTTTCTGACTGGTAGGTTTTATTAAAAGGCAAAAACTTTCATAAATTCCTGCTGATTTTTGGTCACCGTGGACTAACCCAGCTCTCCTACAAGTTCTTCAGAAGAGGTACCCAAGAAACAGAGATGGTTCTGCACCTCCTAATGTCTGGCTTCTCCCCCCTCCTGCTCAGTTGTGGGTATACAGGCTGGATTCATGTTAATTTATAGTCTGAGGCTGCAATCTTTATATGCTTTACGCATATAACAATAGGCATTTCTCCAGAACAATAGTTGCAACAGACACATACGTATACACAGTGCTAAGATCCTGTGGGACTTCCAGATCCAGACAGACAGGCAGGTCTGGCCAATCAACCAGACATCGTGGTAGTAGATAAGGACCAGAAGATAGCGGTAGTGATAGATGTAGCAGTGCCAAATGATAGCACCTTCAGGAAGAAGGAGCATGAGAAACCGGAGAAGTACCAGGGCCTGAAGGAGGAACTAGAGAGGATGTGGAAAGTCAAGGCCAAAGTGGCCCCAGTGGTGGTAGGAGCACTCGGGACTGGGAGATGGGAATGGCTCCAACAGATCCTGGGAACAACATCAGAGCTCTCTGTGCAGAAGAGTGCAGTGCTAAGAACAGCTAAAATCCTGCGCAGAACCCTCAAACTCCCAGGCCTCTGGAAGAGGACCCGAGATTGAGGAAGACACAGACCACCCTTAGGGGTGAGACAGGATTTTTTTTTTTTTTTAATATGACATTGCTTTCAAATATTTGTTGGAGAGGAGGGGTTTGCCATATTCTAGCGCCTCTGTGTCTCTGAGTAATGTTGCCATTTCAAACAAAGGCTGGGCTAAACTAGTATTCCATTCTTTATTTGCAGCAATATTTCTCTCTCTGCTTGTCTCTTTCGCCCCCCTCCCCACTCCCTTTCTGTTTTGGCAAAACAGGAGCATTGCCTGTGAAACATGAGCAGCGTATCTTTGAAGGAAAACTCTAAACTTTCAGGAGTGGTTGATCTCCCTAATTCGTTTGGCGTTGGGACTTCCAGAAAACTAATGTCCTTCCAGTATATATGAGAGATTTAAATGAATGCAGAAGTTGCCTGTTAAAAAAAGGAGGAACTTGATTTGCCAGCTTGCCCGTTTCCACTGGAACCTGGAGAGCTAGCCTTAAATTCAGCATGGTTTACCTTTGAGGAGGCCTACTTGGGATAGTACTTTTACTCTCAGTGCTGACACATGCATTTGGAGGGTCAGTGTATCGTGTGAACACCATAATCCAGTCAACCCTGGACCTAAGAGGGGTTTAAATTAATTTCCTCCACTCAGCTATGTTGTCCAGACATGGAAAGAGACCAAAAGGGAGTAGGGTGGCATCATGTCACTGCCACTGTTTTGGTTTTGTTTGGGCAAGTAAAAATAGCAGAAAGCAGCGTCGTTGTTTGTGAAGCCAGCCACACTGTAAGGTTTACCATTGAAGCTTCTCTTCCTCTGCCCTGTCTTCAGCTGTCTGACAGATGTGGAATATCTGCTGTTTTCTTTCCCCCTTTCATTCCCACCCCTCTTTCCTTTCTGCATTTATCTTATATTTAGCTTGTAAGCCAAAAGGCAGAGATCACCTGGTTTTTATTATCCTGTGGACCACTTTAGAATGAAGAGAAGAATAGAAAACACTTTCAACAAAGAAGTAATGGTTGGAACAGCTGATTTGGAACCCAAACAGGTCTAACTTTCTGTTTTGAACATTGAGACCTTCTAGCAATTGAGGATTGGGTATTTAACACTCTGCTGTCACCCATTACTTAGTCTAGGTTCCTTGTTACAAAAAAAGTCTTCTCTCCAAGACCATCAATGCAATAAGAAGAATCCCTGGTGGCCCATAAGGCAACAAGCATGGATCATGTTGGGAATAAAACTCACCACAGAAATACTGAGAGGAGTGTTTAGGTATCGCATCGTACTATGCAGAAAACCCATCCTTTATTACTCCAGAGCAGTAATTTAAATGCAGGAAGATGAAAGGAGTTTTCGGCTTGCTAATTAAGCAATAAAGGAGTCCAAAGATGAGAAGGCCGCCTAGTAGACTTTGTAAAAGCTGCAGCTCACTGTACCACCTGCAACTGAGGTATCCTCAATATATTGGCTGTACACAGAACAATGGTCATCAGACGACCCCTGATTGTGTGGGTGAGTCCAGCCCTTTGAAGCAACAGCTACTTACATTTCAACAAGCAGGCAGTTCCTCTCTTTCGTTTGTGCAGAATTGTGTGTAATTGTTGCACATAAGAACTGCCTGCCAATAGCCCAGTCTGGCATTGATTAGATTCTCCCAAATGAGGCTTTCATTTATTATTGAACTACAGTGCCCACCACTTCCAGCCAGGTCATTATCTATTTCCTCTATAAATATATGTACTGTCAGGGATTTGGACCTGGGGTATTTTGCAAAATGAAAATTTCTCAAATGATCGTTATCCTCATTATAATATGACTCCATTGTCCTGCCAGATCAGAGCAAAATTCTACTGAGTCTTACACATGTTTGCCAGAGTTTCAATCAGCTGACTTTGAAAAGCCAGCAAAAAAGGCACGAAGGCAATAAAATGAATATCTTCTGGAGAAGCTGATCTCCTGACCTTCCTGAGAGATAAGCACAAAATACATTTGTATATCTCTAAACAGGGTGAGGCATTTTCTGCGGTAGTGTGTTGGAACAATTTTGGCTAGAAAAGGATGAAAATCATACAGTTGGTCAAAATGGTTTTGTATTTTTTGAATTAGTGGGCTAAAAGCTTTATATTCAGTGAGCTGCCTTACTCTTTGTCTCCAGATCTTTAGCATACATTTTCTCTCTTTAGATGCATTTAGGCAATGAAAAAGGTAAGATGGAAGAGTTTCCAATTTCATTTAACTCCTCCCATACTTTCCAATTTTTGTTTCCAAGTTTTCATGATGATAGAACAGGCCAATTTAGTCCTTCTAGTGGCTATCCTAATGCATTTTGGGAACTTGGAAGCAGGACAACCAGTATTTAAGATATGCTGCCTTCAGTTCTAGATAAAATATAATATCACACAATGTAATATAATGTTGTATAAGCTATCAGGACCAGCAGCCTTTGATGGTTCTTTCCTCAGCAAATTTGTCTGGACTGGTAACCCAAATTCTTTCAAATCAAGAATACTTTGATTGCCATCTTTAGTCAATAGAGGCACACAGGGCTTCCTAGAAGCCAAAATCTTGGCTTAGGGAAAGTGGGAAGGGTCTGACCCTATAACTAACCTTCCTCCATGGTGGGGATGAGGATCTGTTGGTCCTCCAGAAGTTGCTGAGCTCCAACTCAGAGCATTTGTAACCCTGGCGCATATCAGATGGGCTTCTGGGAGTGTGGAACAGCAACAACGGAAGGACCCTATTCCTAACAGGGAAAGATAGAAGAAAATAGAACTGTATTTTTCCATTTCTGTATCTCTGACTAGCCAGCTATCATTATTTCTCCAGGTTCTACTGCCCCTTGGTGTTTATTCTTAAGTATGGCAACCTGGTTCTTTATTAAGCCTGGCATTCATGCACATTAAACTTTTGCACTAGAAATGCTGATGGGTTTTGATCCCTCCTCCAGTTTATTTTAAGGCTAAATGTAGCCATAAGGGATCCAATATAGGAAAAGCTTTCAAACAGCATGCAGTCAGGAAAAAAAAAATCTTTTGACCTGACTCCCCATGGTCTGTCTTCAATGAAAGGAGTAGGAGAAACGATATGCCTGCTGTTCTTTTGCCTTCTGAGCTCAACCCCAGGACATCTGCTTTCAGAAGAAAAGAATTTCACTGAAATTCTCATGGGTGAGCTTCAGTGTTCTTCCATTTACTTAATACAATACCTGCGTTTTGCCCAAGTCAGGCTCCCAGCTGACCTGACAGATCCCCCAAAGCTAAACAGGGTCAGACCTGATTAGAACTTGGATGGGAGGCAATTTCAGGACTGTAGATTAGATTGGCAAGTCCAAAAACTATTCTAGAAAAAAGCAATGGCAAACCATTTCCATAATGCTGCCAAAGAAGCAACATGGACATGTCCATATAGGCTCTAGGGGTTGAGCTCAGCTTGGAGGCAGCTTTGCTTTTTTAACCTATTATTTATAGCATTCTCTCTACTGGTCTGCAACCTTTCTGTTTCTATTAAATACCAGGGGAAGACATCATGAACCAAGTTCTCCTTTGGAATTTTTCAGTAGTGGTGTTATGATCAAGAGGTTCCTGAGGAATTTCTCCTTTCTCTAGAAATGGCTGGCTGGGGAATTCTGGGAGTTGAAGTTCACTCATCTTAAAATTGCTAAGATTGAGAAACCCTGCTGTAGAGGAATTCAGAGAAATCATCCACCTAGTTTCTCTGTTCACAAATTTGGTGGAAAATTCTGAAAGGCTCTTTGTGCCCAGCTCTGAAGTGAAAAATAAAGACCGTTTAGTGCCTTTATGTTCTGTAGAACTTTATTTTGATTGTTAAAATACATTGGGGCTTGCCCACTTTTTTAAAACAAAAGCTAGAAGCAAATAGGAGGAAACGGGTCACAACACATATTACTCCATGGGAATTTCAGCATTAAAGCTTCCTCAGTATGAGGTTGGGACATTGTCTTGGAAAATGGCTCTTGAAAGCCAACTGGGAGAGGGAGAAATAAAACATCTTCCTCTCAGAAACCTGAACTTGCTCACTTCCAGATGACACCTGAACCTAACTTCTGAGAACATTAGAGGTTGATGACCTTGTACATCTTGAAATGTTGTAGCTGAACTTCTATGAGGCAGAATCTGTGGAAGGTCAGGGTTACCTGAGCCCAAAATAAGGCTAGAAATGCCTCATGTCTACCAACAGAAACTACACTGTCATGGTTTCCCAATGACTCATCCGCTTATGGTCTCCGCTTCAGCCTGAGGGAGTTGTCCAGGGTAGTCAACTGGCGCAGGAAACCCCGGTTGGGAATGATGCCTCGGTGGTCCTTGACGGTCTTTATGGCCTCCACCAAGGTCAAGCGGTGGTAAATCATGAGGTAGGCAAGGACCAGGGTGGCTGATCTGCTTACCCCCACAGCACAGTGGACAAGGATCCTCCCTATGGGAAAAATGTCAGTTTAAGAAAATGTCAGTATCAAACACCAGTCAAAGAAATCTGCGGCCCAGAGATTTAGGGGAAGTAATTAATTTCAAATATTTTTTTCATTTGAAATAGCCTCACAAAAAATCTCACTCTCCGTACTACACCACATCTCGTTAGCTCTCCATCATCATTTGAGATTATTTATTTATTTAACCAATCAGTCAATTTATAGGACCACCCAACTTGCAAATTGGGACTCTTGGCAGCTCCCATAGAATTGCAAACCAGAAACAAACAAAATAAAAACAACACAAACAGCAATATACCACAACTGATGCCAGCCTATAATTATTAAACTTCAAACTAATACAGATGGGCTCATCCGACACTCTGGCTCTATACCTGGGAGTAAAAACCAACCTTCAAGACTTTACAGAAGAACAATCCAAATCTTCGGGGTGGGGGTGGGGGTATGCTATTTTAGGCATCAGATACCACAACAGAGGTGGCACACCTTCTGGGTTCCAGCAGATGACACTGTTATATAGAGGGGGCCCAGAAATACCCATACTGTCAGATCTCATGGGATAAGCAGAAGCCTTCTTGGCTATGGTTGCTCCAGGCATTTTAAGCAGAAGCTGAGAGTCCAAGAGTATTCCCAAGCTGGTTGCCAGTTCTGTCTGAGGGAGAGTGCAACCCCGCCCAGAACTACAGATGGAAAGTCCCCAGATCCACACCCACAGGTACTCAGTCAAGACATCCAAAGCCTCCAGACATTGACTTTATCTATAAATCAACTGTAGAACATCTGTCATGTAATGGACAGTCTCCCCAGTTTTCTGGGCACTGTCTTTTAATGGGACTTTTTCAGATCCTAAAATATGGGTAGCCCACAAAGCTGTAGGGTGAAGAAGAAACATGTAACAATAAAGTAGGCTCAAACAGCCCCCCAAATAAAATTGAAAGGAAATTAAAAGCACTCATGAGAACGGCTTTGCTTTCTGGATGAGGACAATGGCAGACCACTTTAGTACGGTTTTAAAACAATACCCTACATAGACATGTTCATGGAGTTACCAGAAGTCCAGCTTGATTTGAAGGAGTCTTTACCTCTTCTGCTTTGTTAGTTTGTGCATTCCATTGTTTGAACCACTCCCCCCACCCCCGCCCCAGCTCTGATTTAGCTTGAAAAATGGCTTAAACATATTACTAGAAAGCAAAAGAGAAGAAAGCAAATCTGGTAAACATGGGGCATAAAAATATGAATTGATACATTTTGGGAAGCTGTTGTATGCCAAACTCAAGCTGGATATATGACAACATGAGAATATGAATTGGATCTCAACAGTGTTGCATTAGAAAGATACTCTGTTGTGCGAAGAACTGGAATATCAATTGATTGTGTGGCTTGAATGAGAAATACATATATATATATATATATCTTCTAGTCATGGGTCAAGTCAACCTTTTCCATGGACTCACCTCCACTCCTGCTCAGTGCTTTGTGGATGAAATCTGCTGCTGGCTGGAAGTAGGGGCTCATATCAAAGGTGGGCGAGTCATGTGCCTCAATGCCTAGGTAACAGATGCCAGTGCCTTCATAGTAATCTGCACCTCCCCGCCACTTGCTATGAGAAGCATTGAGGATGTGAGTGATGTTCAGTCGTGCCAGCTCACGTCGGTTGGCTGCTATATCTCTATATGGGGGGAAAGATGAAGTAGGGGCTGTCATTCACAAATTCTCTAATTCCCAGAATCACTGCTTCTATCCACTCCTTCTCAAGTGTCTCCGATCTGCTTTTAGCTGGCCTCTTCCCAGAATATGTGGTGGAGTTTTGCTAAGCCAGTTCCTAGCAAGTGGCAGTCTTGCAGTCAGGTTCATGACCTGGATTGCAGATGTGCACTTCCTTTTGGACCAGTTGACACAGAGGCCCAGAAACCACTGTGCAAAAGATCCTCTTTGCTCTTTGATTCCTGCTGCTCTCTGATTATCATCTGATGGGGGAGCCTTTCAGGCTGAGCCTGATAACTGATAACAATAATTTCTTTATCCAACTAAATATCTCCCAAATCTTGGGAAAATCTTTCCACTACCTCTGAAGGTTGCAGGTGAACATATGCCCAGCTTTATGACAATTCTCTCCTCCATCACCGTCTGCTTCCCCCAGAAATTACCACCAGAGGCAGCTGCCCCAATGACTAACAGTAGAGCTGGTAATGATGGAACCCTGCCTGGAAAGATATTATATGTTTAACAAATGATTTGTGGCACTATGGTAAGTTCTTTCTCCCCTTTCCCCATCTGAATCCTTTCCCTAATCATCACTATGTTGCCCCTTTGCTTCTTCCCCACCTCCAGGAAGAGAGCCTATCTCCAATATTTGGATTGATACATACTGATCTCCCAGGTAAAGTCCTGGCCAGACCTCATCAGCATGGTTACAGGCTGTTTTCCCTGTGTACAGGAGTCTCTCCAGCTCAAAAACACTGAGGATAGGATGGTTGACTGTGTCATCATGAGTCCTCCAGACAGGAGGTCTGGATGTATTCCGGGAGAATCGAGACATGAAGGCCATGGGTGCTGCTGTGCCCCCTGTTGCATCCCGGGCCACTTGAGGGGGCTGGGCTGGGACCGGGACAGTATTTCTGCTGTGACCACCACCCACGGTCGGTTTCTAGTCTGAAAAAGAAAGAGGAATGGTATCAGTAGCATCATATCAGCACTAGGTTCCCATGAGGTTGGGCACTTCCTGTATCTGCTACATTCTGGATGTCTATCCTGACCATGTAAAATAAAGAAAAAGAAACTACTTTCAAGAAGATTCTTCTTTTCACCACCCAGTGGATTAGCAGCTGAATCTTATTTCAGCACTGTCATGGGGGGAAGAATTTTCTAACATACCTGAGGGCAGAAAGCTTTCAAGGGCTGCAGGAGAGATAAGGCATAGGTCACGTTAACATTCAAGGGCTGGGCTGGGCTGGGCTGCCCTCAGAAATGGTCACTTATTGTTAGTCCCTGGGAATGGGTGCCCTACAAGTATAGTGAATGAATGAATGAATGAATGAATGAATGAATGAATGAATGAATGAATGAATGAATGTTTGGCTAATGGTAGGGCCTGGGTTCAAGCACTGAGTTAAAATGTAGGTCATTTCCACTAAAAAAAGTGGCTTCTTTCTACACAATAGGCTTAAACCAGTTTCTGAATAAGCCCATTTACTGCGTTTGCAAAATATCTTGAATCAGAATCTAACCAAGTACCGAGGCTCATGTGAACAAGTTAGCCCATCTTCAAACCCAC